TTGTTTCCAAAATTGTCTCTGTCCATGCACATTACTGTCTGGATAGCTTTTAAGTGATGTGAGTAGAATCAGTTCCCCTAAACCACGCTCCTTCGGAGCAGCCGTTGGGCCTGCTCTGCCAGTCAACTGACTCACGTTCCTGCACGCTGGGGCTTGTGGACGTGTGCTGGGCTCTTCAGAGGTGAGTGGCTGTATTTGCTTCTCCTGAGGGACAGGTGTTTTCCCTCAGTTTCTTTGCAACTCAACATTTCCTCAAAGGGAAAATATTCATAAATGACTGTTTTTGAGCCAATTCAGCAGTCTTGATCCAGAAACACCCACCAGTCTTTCTTTCTTTGGGCTACCTTCCCCGTCTGTGTCTGAAAGGCCCAGTGTTCTCTCCTTGACTGTCTTGACCTCATTTCTCTTGGCATGATTTTATCTCCTTCACTCTTCCTTGGGCAGTTTCTTGTTGGTTTGTACGCTATCTTTTCTTAGCACATATTCCTGGTGGACAGCCTCGTGCAGTTTTTGGAGTCCCCTTGAGGCGCATATATGGGTCCTGCTCTGGGGTTGGCAGGTGAGGTACAGGAGCAGATTTTCCATGAACGGTAGTTACTGGTGGAGGGCACTTGCTCCACATGTTCTCCTTCAGTCTTTTTGTTGACCCTATGAGGCGGGTGGGATTATGCCCCATTTTAAATAGGAGAAAACTGGTATAACTGAGGTGCAGAGAGTTCAGGGTCTGACTTTTCCAGAAGCACACAGCTAGTGAGTCAGTGGTAAAACCGGCCTGATCAGTCAGTCCCTGAAGTCTGTTTTCCAGTGGGTGTCCCAGGCTAACGCGGAAGTGAAATTAGCAGTCCCCTGGCCGAGCTGGGAGGGTTTGCTGATTGAAGCAAGAGTTGGGCAGGCCTTTGGCATCAGTTCTTTACTACTGCAGAAACCATGAGTGGGTTAACTGTGTCTTAAACCATGTAAGCACTGTGTATATTAGTTTCCTATGGCTGCATGACAAATGACCACAAACTTAGTGGCTTAAACAACACAAATGTATTATCTAGTTCTGTGGGTTAGCAGTCTAACATGGGTCTCAGTGGACTAAAATCAAGCTGTCAGCAGAGGCTCAGGGAGGAGTCCCTTTCCTTGCTCTTTGCCACCTACATTCTTTGGCTCATGGCCCCCTTCCATCTTCAAAGCCAGCAGTGGTGGGTCGAGTCCTTCTCACATCTCATCTCTCGGACACTGACTCTTCTGCCTCCCTCTTCCACATGTAAGGATTCCTGTGATGACATTGGGCACACACGGTTAATCAAGGATAATCTTTCTATTTTAAGGTCCACTGGTTAGCAACCTTAATTCCATCTGCAGCCTTAGTTTCCTTTGCATATAAGGCAACATAGTCACAGGTTCTAGGCATTAGGGTGCAGATATCCTTGGCAGGGTGGGGGAGGGTGCCTGCTACCACATGCCACGTTATTCTGCCTGCCACCGCATGCCTCTTTCACAACTCAGTAGGAGAGAGCCCCCACTCCTAAACTCTCGTCCTCGGTCTAGGTTGCATCCGGGAGGTGTGTGTTCCTTCCCGTTCTTCTCAGCCACAAGCTAGAATACAGCTTGCCATCAGGTCCGGCCAGTTTGACATCATCTGAGACTAATTTTATCCTATGCCCAGGAATAGATTTAAGTTCCATCTCTCGATGGGAGGAAGAACCGATTCCATTAAGGGCCGCCTTTATCAGGGAAAGGTGCTCACTTGGGCACTGGTACCGCCCTAGTCTCTTCCCTCAAGAAACTATCTGCAGGTGTCTTCCATTGACCTAGTCCAGATGCTTGCTTCTACTGCACCTGCGTCCATCTGCGAGGTGATTTTAATGAATGCTGTGTGCCAGATGCTGAGTCTATTATCTCATCGATCCTCAAAACAATAGTAGTAGTAGCACTTTGTGACAGTTATTATTCATACCCAAACTCACACATTTGACACGTAAAATGGAGATGTTATTGTATCAAAGTCTATTGGGAGGTAGCTGCTAGAGGTTTTTGCAACCCTGTTTTCATTTTTAAACAAGGGTATAAAGTGTGGATGTTGCTAATACTTGCTGTATAAAGAAAGAACTCAGGGAGGTTAAGTAATTTGCTTACAACCACACAAAAATTCAGTAACAAGGTTCAAATCCAGGTATAAAACTACATTTCCTATATTTTCTCCATATCAGCCTGAGAGTGAACTACTGTTCTGTTTACAGACGAGCTGTGTTGGCTGGAAATTGGAAGTGCTGGTAGGTCCCCTCTCGTACAGGCTCAGTTGGGTGACAGTCCCCGCTGTACCTGGCGGGTTTATTCCTGCCTTCTTGCTGAGTTGTAAAAGCTCTCACATCTGCAATAAAAACCCACAGAGGGAGGATAGGAGCTCTTAAAATTACACACATTTTCATTCTAGAATTTCCCTTGGGTGATATCCTCCACTCACCTCACCTGTGATTGTAAACCCCGTCGCTCTTGGTCTGAATTTCATTCAGCATTAACAATGCCTCATCATTTTATGCTGTACAGAAGTATTGCTGTTTATAGTGATTTAAGTTTAGATCATTCAACGTTTCATTGAATGTGTTGACACTTAGTTATGCGGAACACCACAAATAGGTGGGCAGGCTCTGAGGAGGTGTTTCTCATCTGCACCTTCCTTTCCAGGATCTTGACAGTGTAGCCCCGAAACCATTAGAAACATTGGCTTTACAGTCCTCATTTCTTCCCTGGGGCTACGCTCTTGACTCGCCTCTTACGAGGTTGAGTGCCCAGAGCCCCCATCCTCAGCCACAGCATCTCAGTGCTGACTCCCAGCTCTGTCCCTAACCAGATCTCACTTCTGAGCTGCTGTGGGATATGTGGACGTCATGGTTGACTTAATCCTCATAATGCCCTTATCGATGGGTCGGTGAACACTACATTTTATAATTGGAAAATGGAGAATTGAAAAGATACGGCAATTTGCTCTACAACGTATAGCTGGTAGTTAGGGAGCTTTGTTTAAGATTTTTATTTATTTATTTTTCCCCCCCAAAGCCCCAGTAGATAGTTGTATGTCATAGCTGCACATCCTTCTAGTTGTTGTATGTGGGACGCGGCCTCAGCATGGCCGGAGAAGCGGTGCGTCGGTGCACGCCTGGGATCCGAACCCGGGCCGCCAGCAGCGGAGCGCGCGCACTTAACCACTAAGCCACGGGGCCGGCCCTAGGGAGCTTTGTTTAAAGAGTAAAATGTTCCACTTGAGAGGGAATTAAAACTGTCGTCAATAAGTATCACATGTGTATAGCATAATATAAAGCATAACTAATACGTGTTATGTCTTAAGGTAAAAGTTCAGACAGAGAGGAGTGATGAGGCGAAGAAGGGATGGAGAGAGAAGAGAGAGGGATAGAGATCGCTAAGATGGGGATGTTCTTGCATGGACGTCTGTTGGGGTATAGCCGCTGGATGTTTTTGTGGTCCTCTTTTCATATTTAATCACGGGCGTAAATGGGGATTTTACTAACACTTGACTCATTGAAGGCTGAAACCACACCAGAGCCTGGAGTACGTGGCACCCTTTTATTGGTCAGTTGTACAAAAAGAGAAAAGCCTCTGTCTACCCAGGCTGGAACAGTTTGACCTGTTCTTAACCCCATCTGGAACTGCTTTGGGGTTAATTAGCATTTCCCTTAAGACACATATGAAAAGGATTGGGAGGAGCCTGGACTGGGTTTTCATTCCTGCAGAGCACGGAGGCTTCATTTCTGAGTGAGGTGGCTTTGGTGCCAGCTTGTGTCACTGATTAGTATGTGGAGTGGAAGTAACAGGTTAATTTTGGTAGGTGGCCATGCCAGCTGTGTAAACTGAATGAGCATATTTCTCCACGTTGTTCCCTACCCTTCTACTTCCGGAGGTAGACGTTAAATGATCTACCTTCCCCTGTCTTCTCTCACCCTGGCCCTCCCATGCTCTTCTTTCTGTAGGAAAGAAGAGGACTCTCTTTCCTGTGTTACTCATGAGTTTAAGTTTAGAACAATATAATGGACATAGAAAGTGGCTTATTCTGAAAACTTCTGGAGAGAAATTGCTGGGTGGCTTGGCACTCAGTTAACTGTAGCCTCTCTTGTGGGTTCAAAAATGTTTTATCAAAAATATTGAACTGAGAGACTTTAGAACTAATTATGGTAGACAGAGAAACAAGCTAAACAAGGCAACAAAGAGACAGATTCCCAAATGTGGAATCTTTCTTTCTTTAATGGATTGAAGGCATGGAAAAATAAGATGGGGGTGGAGGGTAGGAATTACTCTCAATTTGGAGATGTGACAGTCAAATGCAAGGTAAGGACCTTGTTTGGACCTGAAACTAACAAAGCAACTGTTTAAAAAAAAAAAAAATTTTTTTTGAGACCATCAGGGAAATTTGCATAGAGCCTTTGCATTAGGTGACGCTGAGGAATTAATATGTTATTTCTATCAGATGTGATAATGACATTGCGGTGGAAAATAGTCCACATATTTTGGTCCATCTGAAGTAGGGGTGAAATGACAAAGTCTGGGTTTGCAATCCTGGAAGAGCTAACAGATGAAGCAAGTTGGACAAAATTTTGGAAATTGTTGAATCTAGGTGATGGATATATACAGAGTTCACTATACAAGCCTCTGCATCTACGATGGTTGAAAATTTTGTATTGACTGCTTAAGTGTTTTACCTGCCCTCCTGAGCCCACAGATGAATTGTCCCTACAGTCCAGTGTGGTGATCCTATCACAGCCATCAGACCACAGACACTTTAATTCCTGTTGGAAAGCGTGTTGCCACCAAGCCAGAGCCAGAAAAGCTGAATACCATCTCAGAGCTGGTTTTTTTTTACAGTTGTCTTCAACTTGTTCAGAGCTGTTGATTCTGGAGTGAGACCAAGAGGTTGACCCATATACAGTTGATTCCTCAGCCCCCAGAGGATGGAGAGATGGCTTGAAAAGAAAACAGAAACCTTTCACTTTATTTTGTAGGACCACCAAGAGACCTCAGACCTTCTATGATGGAAGTTCCTCCTGTGCCAGAGGAGTGTGCCATATTCCAGCAGCTGAGCCATTCTGCCCCAAAACGAGAGAGGTGCGTAGACTTTCTGGAAGGTGCACTAAAGTAAATCGTAAAGGCTTGGGGTAGCATCTAGTTTAGATTAGTTGGCTAAGCACGTGGTCCCTCTTCCCTCTAACGTTTGTGTCTCATGCCAGGTTTAATGAAGAGTTGTTTCTCTTTGCTAATAGTTAATAGTGCCTCCTCTACTCTCAGTCATTTGTGAGCTGAATCCCTCAAAGTGGCAACCTACTTTTTTTTTTATAAATTTAGATTTTGCTGTCAGGATACTTTCTAAATAGTTTAGTATAGGGTAGCATATTAGTGAAGAGTATACAGTCTGGAACCAGATTACCTGAGATCACATCTCTGCATTTCAGCTTCATGGCTGTGTGTCGTTGGACGAGTTACTTAATACCTCTGGGCTTCACTTTCCTCATTTGTAAAATGAAGGTAATGATAACATGTACCTCATAGGACTCTGTGAGAGATCCAAGAGTTAATACTTAACAAAATGCTTTGACCATTTTCTGTCAGTTATGAGAGGTGTTTACTACTTTTATGAATTAAATTATTATCGATAATCTACAAATTGTCAGATTGGCATCATTTTTGCCTTTGAGCTGAGTTTGGCCATTATCGTCCAGCCTCCTCTCCAGGATTATAGTAAAATCTCAGAACTAAGAGGGCAGCCCCACAAAGGCCAATGGTGGTAGAAGGTGAGGAATCACAGCCTCAGCTCTCAGAGGGTGAAAATAGCTACCACTCAGAATCCGTCACTTGGTCACAAATGGTACTTGTCTTATAATCCCAGGTTACAAGGCAGGTGGGACCCAACAGATCCGAAGTATTGTCAGAGGCAACTGCCTAGTGAAATCTGCTTTATAAATTAACTTAGAGAATATAAATACCTAAACATTTCCATCATTCAGATGATTCTAACACCTGCATATAGAAAGTAGAAGGTTTGTTTTAGCTTTTCTGTTTAGCCCTGCATAATCCTGTAAAACTAGTTTCCTTGTAGTTAACAGCAGGGCACCTCACTCTGGTCTCCAACAAAAATCTAGAATCCAAAGCCAGGGGTTGGGGGGGGTAGCTGTTTCAGATAGACCACTGCATGTTGATTCTCTCTGACTTCTGTGAAAGTACATTCTTTACTTGTTTGGGAAAAAACGGCAGGTTAAGTTTGTATGAATGTATGTATTTAAATGTATATGTTTCTGAGTAGTTATCAGCAGAATATATCAGGATGCTGCTCCTGGCTTTACCTCTGAAACACTGATCTGTCCACATCATAAATTTGCTCTCCAGGCGAAATTAGATGTGTATAAAATTCTTGTCCATTTCAAAATGGGGGCAGCTTGGTAAGAAATAGACTAGGGAGAGAAAATGCACGTTAGTATGAAATCGGAGATCTTGCCCCAGGCAGAAAACAGTGATCGATGTAACTCCAAGTAGAGGTGGCAGGGAAATGAGTATGCAGAGAATGTAAATGTGTGGCTGGTGAGAGTTTCCAGTAATACAGTTTGGCCTCCCTTGAGACCGAATTAATTCAGCTATTATGAATCTAGCCAAGCCAAGGACCCCCACACAAAGACTAAAGAGTGCTGGGGCAGGCAGTTTAAGACAACAGGAAAAATAAGCCTTCAGATTATTACTTTATTCTTAGCTACTCTAAAAGAGATTTTTAAATATTGTCCAAAAATGTGAAGTGTAGATGGTGCTGCCGTTGGTAATTATCACCTTAACTGTCAACATTCACGTGGTCTTTCATGTACTGAGGAGGAAGGATTGTCAGTTGAATTGTCAAGTGGCAGGCAAGGTGCACAACGGTTGTACGATACCTCCCATTTGTGTGAAATATGTCTACACATAAAGAGGTTAATATGAAAATAGTTGCGTGTAAATAAAGTATTTCTGGAAAGTTGACGGAAAAACTGGTAAGAGTGGTTCCCCTTGGGGAGGTGAAGTGGGTTGCCAGGACACGGGTGGAAGAAATACTTGTCACGGCATGATGTCCTTTTGTACTGTTTATGTTTTGGGCCAAGTACAGATATTACCTCTTCCCAGAATAGTGTCACTTCTAGTCACTTTAGAAAGGTATCTGAAACAGACTCTGAAAATTCTGACACAGTAAATATATTTACTGGTGATCTAATATTGCTCATAGTGCATTTGTGAGGACGGTCATAGAGTCAGAAGTTCCATTATGATTACTCAAGACGTGGAAGTGAGAGCAGCTTAGCCGCCAGCCCAGAGATCTCTCAGCCTGTGGTTTGTATTTCTGGTCCCTTAGGACGGTGTTAGCTGTTCTCGTGGGGGTGCAAAGTACTGGTTCAGGTGGCGCGGCCCCGGGGTCTGTCACTGTGGCCGATCCACATCCATAAGCCTCCTATCGCTGCTCCTTCCCATCATGGTACCCACCTCCCAGGGTGATGGTGCAGACTTACGTGCCACGGGCCAGCGGCACGCGGTAGTTGGGATCTTCCTTCACGCCTCTCTGGAAACACTCTGAAGTTTTGCCGAGACATATAGCTCAGTTATTCAAGATTTTTAAAGACATTTAATGAAGACAGGACTCTGGTTATATCTTATTTTTGAAAAAAAAGAAGAAGGTAGGGGGAGCAGGGGAGGAAGGAGTGGTTTAGGCCTTGAGTTTATGACCTGTACTCTTTAGGGAAAAGTTTTGACTAAGCATAATCTTATTATCAGCATGTATAGGGTAAATCAACATGATGTAGCATCAACAACTATTCATTGTCTGTGACTTGGCATGGTTCTAAATTTGGAGTTGCCAAGACTCTTGTTAAAATTCTTTCTCCCAATGCCATAGCACAGTATAAGTTATTTTTAAGGAATTAGGTTAATTCACTTATATGGTTCAGACATGTGGAGGCAAGACTTTGGCCTAGACTGGAGCCTTCTATTGACTTTGAGTCACTCCATTTTATATATATATGTGTATATATATATAGTATTTCAGGAACCTTTACCAGTTATTTGGCAAATGTGTAGAAGCTGCCAGTATTAATAATTGTTAGAAGACCAGTTAAGCATTTATATAGTGTTTACAATGTGCCTGACACAATTCTATGCTGTATATTCCTTAGCTTATTTAATTTTCACAATATCTCTGAGTTATACAATATCATTCCCATTTTACAGATGAGAAAACTAAGTCCTACAAAGGTTAAGTGAATTTTCAGCAGTATTAAGTAGGTTAACAGTTAAGTTTAAAAGACTAATTTTTTTTGTTAAAAAAGAATGTTGAAGCACAGGCTAAGGAAAAAAATGAAGTTAAGTAATAACTTGAAGATTAGATGTGCATTATTAATTAGACACTGGAAAAAGTGATTAAACTTTTAAATAATGTTTCTAAAACCCGTGCATGACCTTGCCACTAAAAGGATGCCAAGATAAGTTTATCCCTTGGACAGGAACAAATGAGCACAGCCCTGTTCTGTTTTTACCGTAAGTCCCTGGAGAGGCAACAGACCAAAGAGGTTATGAAGAAATCACTTTTTAACCCAAAAAAGCTTTTACAAAAGTCTTCAGATTTTGTATGAAAGAGCAATGAGCATGAATTTCTCAGGAGCTTGGAAACAGTTCTCAGCACATCTCTTTGAGGAGATGGGAATGAGAAGTGCACCTTAGCTTAGCCTTGGAGATTAAGAGCTCAGATCCAAGTTCATATACACAACCCAGCTTAGTCTCTTAAAGCTGTTAAGAAGTAAATGAGATTCATGTATGTCTGCAAATGCCTGGTGGGTAGAAAAAGCTCACTGTTTGCTCTCGTAGCTGTGAGCTGTATGCAAGGGGCTGGGGAACAGGATTATGTAAGTGGGTGAGGGTCTGGGAAACACGCCTCTGCGGTTTCCCAGTTTCTCTCTGAGGAGCTGCAAGTACTAGGCATTTACAGTACAAGTCTTTAGTTAAGTAATTAACTTGTTAAACATCAGGGAAAAAATAAAATAGTAAGCTATACGTATGTTTGTATGTTTTGAGTTGGTGGTTCTTTCTTTTCTAGGTCCTCATAGAGACTGCTAAGAGGCTAGGACTCCGGTGCCACTCAAAAGGAACAATGGTCACAATCGAGGGACCTCGTTTTAGCTCCCGGGCAGAAAGCTTCATGTTCCGCGCCTGGGGTGCAGATGTGATCAACATGACCACAGTTCCAGAGGTGGTTCTTGCTAAGGAGGCTGGAATTTGCTATGCCAGCATCGCCTTGGCAACAGATTATGATTGTTGGAAGGAGCATGAGGAAGCGGTAGGTGAAATTCTCTTCGGAACCTGTATGGCCTGGGTTTCCAGGTGCCGTGAGAGCCGTTAAGAGAGTGTCTTAACTGTTTGTTTCTATTGCATTAGTTCCAGAAAGTGTCTTTCTACCAGGTTTTAAAGTCAGCTTTTTACACATTACCAGATATTTTCTTTAGTTCCCATTGGAAGATAAGAACAAAGATCTTCATAAGGAAGAAAAAGACACTTTTATCTAAGGATCAACAGTGAACAATACATTGTAGGGATGTAGCCATGTTGGGGATCATATTGAGACTTGCGACTTATTTTAAGGATCAAGGTGTCTTTTGGTTATAATTTCCTTATGCTGTGCTGCTGTTTATTATGTTTGTTTTCAAAGGGAAAAAACCCGTTACCTCTTTGTGGTAAGGGGACTCTATAATCATACTTGTCTGTTTAACTTACCATGACTGGATACCATGCTTGGTGTAGGAATATGACAGCAAACAGACAAGTCCATAAGGGGCCAACATTTTGGGTTTTTGTGGGGAGGGTGTGTATAGGTTAAGCAAAGCAATGTGAGAAAGCTCCAAGTTATAAAGAAATAGTGTGATGAGATACAGGAGTACGTGTCCAATTGATCCACCAAATATTTGAAGTCTGGGAAGCCGTTCTGGTTTAAGTGTGATAGGAAAGATAGGCATGCTTGAGAGGAGTGGAGAGGAGGGGGTGACAGGGAGGCAGGGCCATGTAGACCATGTAAGGATTTCAGATGGGAGGTCAATGAAGGGTTTTAGGCAGGAAAGATGGCAAGGTCCAGCTTGCATTTAAGGACACAGAACCCCAGAGGTCAGGCTTCCAAAACATATTTTCATCATGAAAAACTTCAAATCTCTGCAAAAGTAGAGAGTCTAGTATAATGAAACCTGAGTTACCCATCACCCAGCTTTCCTCAACCATGGCCAATCCTGTGTCGCATATTCACCCCTGCCCACTTCTCTCTCCTCCTGCCCTTATTATTTTGAAGTAAATATTTTTCTAAAGGGCCTCTTTTTAAAAATAAAGTAAAATAGTAATAATAATAAATAACCACAACACCAGTATTGTACCAAAAAATATTGATATTAATTTTTTAATATAATCAAATATCCAGACTGTTCACATTTTCCCTCTTGTCTCAGTTTTTCACCATTCAAATCAGGGTCCCTTATAATCCACATGTTACACTTGAATAGTATCTCTTAAGTCTCTTTTAATCTCATATTCCCCTCCCTGTCTTTTCATTCCTTACATTTTACTTGAAGAAACCAGATCATTGTCTCGTCATTTATCTTATTTTAAAATAGAGGTAGGGACAAAACTGCTCTCAAGGAGTTTTGCAGTAAGGAAGAAGTGTAGTGGTGGCTGTTCTGAGCTCGTTTAGGAGAGGTGACATCTTCTCCAAGGGGCCTCTTAATTGCCAGCTCAGAGCTGCTTGCTTCACCATCCAATTCCATGTAAAACAGGGTAAGAGATTCCTGCTGTCTGTCCCTCCATGTATATGGAGTTTGGGTCTTAGAGGAGCACAGGTTCTTTGTTTTGCATGGATGCCTTATCCTGACTCCTCACTGTAATACACTATTGCTAACTACTAGGATGGTTTTATGTAAGAGATTTGCAAATCCTGGCACAATGTCATCTCTGACTTGGCAGCTTTGGTCACCTAAGGGACAGCTCAGCCTCATGGTGTTAAGAAGCTGCTTCCAATTAATAGGAGGGTCCAGCCCCTGCCCCACCCCGAGAGCAGATTGCTTCCTGCCTGTGGCTTTCTGCTCAGCCCAGTAGCATTTGTCTCCTCCTCTGCAGAGCTAGCGGTGCTTTCCTTTAGTAGGCCACAGGCGGTTTGGAAAGCAGTCAGTTGGAGCTACTTCAGTTAAAACAGAGAAACTAAACTCTGTGTAAGTGGTAAGGTATGGAGGCAAATAATGTTACGTGCTACAAGGACAGCATAGACAAAGATGGCATCATCTCAGCCAGCCATGTATGTCACTGTGCTTCAAACCAGACTTGCAGCCTGGCATGGTAGGAAGGTTTTAGAGTTGCCTAAACCCATCTTCAGATTCCTGTTGCTCTGTTTACTTGGGGCACTGAACACAATATTTAACCTATTACTCTTCTCTAGGGCGGAGCCAGGCCTTGGGGTTGAAGGGTGTGAGTTATTTAGTTGTGATTCTGATCTTGCAGGATGACTCGGAGAATTAAACCAAATGATATATGTAGCACAACTGGAATAGTGCTGTCTTCTAGGAGGGTGGTCATCGGATGGTGGCTGTGATGGAGTTGCGGGTGGGGAAACCAAAAAAGAGTTCGTGAAGGAGGAAATTTTTGAAATGTGAGCTGGACCTTGAACAGAAGACTAGATTTGATTGTGAGGAGGTTAGTAGAAAGGGCATTTTGGGTGGAGCCCAAGAGTAGGAACAAAGAAGAGGAAAGAGAGGTCAGAGTCTGTATAGAAATATCAGTCACAGGAAAAGAATAAATATCAGGTAAATCTCTTGGATGCTTTATGACCCTGCATTCAAAAACTCCACTTAAGGCGTGCCTATCCATGTAGCTGGCAGGTACCCAGCTGGTCACTGCTTTGTGTTCCCACAGTAATGGGACCTCCCCTCTGCTATGGTGCTCATCATTTTTTTCTAAACACATTTTGGTGTTTGTGGGAGGGGGCTGGATGTTATACTCCAGGAAATAGAAAGGTGCCATCATGGTGCCCCTAAATCTCAGATTTCCTCTGAGCATAGTGAAGTGTAACAAGTTCTCTACCTCTGATTGTCCATTTTATAATCACAACTTTTTCCAACTTTTTGAAGCAGTTTTAGTCATATACAAAAGTAGGCAATAGTATGAGCTTCCATGCATCCAGAATCCAGCTTCGACCGTTATCATACCAACTTACAGCCAATTGTATTTCATCTACACTCTCATCCATAATTTAATCCATAAACATGTCAGGAGATATCTAAATGTAACAACATTATTGTTATCACATTCCAGCAATAATTCCTTAATATATCCAGGCAAAGTTCAAGTTTCTAGTTATCTCAAAAATCATAAATGATTTTTTATCTTCCAAGTTTTCTAAAAAGAAATCAGGTTATTTTTCCCATAGAGTTTCCCACAGTCTGAATGCTGAAATCATCTCCTTAGGGTAGTTTGGCAGGTTTCTCTGTCCTCTGTTATTTTTTGTAAATTGGCAGCTAGATCTAGAGATTTCACCAGATTCAGGTACCATAAGTAGTGATTTATTTTTCCATCAGGAAACACATTGAAGTGGGTTGTTTGTTTGGTTTTAGGTTTTTTGTTTTGTGAGGTTAGCCACTCATTCATTATTCATTGAGAGCTGTAAAATGAAAAATGGTGATATGTTGATTCCATCATTTTTCTTTATTAGAAGACTTTATTGGAAGACTTCTCTAAAGGGAAAGTGCTGATCTTCTGCTTCTGATTGGTTATCTAGTGCAGCAACAGTTTTATGACTGGAGTTCATTCTATGGACATGGGGAGAATGGCCACAGCTTTCTAGAGCATGCTGACACATTATACGTCTGAGGTAGTTCCTCAGGCACCATATTAAAAACCAATGGTGCTTTTCAGAAATATCATTGAGCTTCTCCAAGACCTCCCCAGTGGGACCGAGACCATCTTGATAAATGCACAGCTTGCAGGGCTCCAGATTGAAACTGGAGTAAACTGACTTCACGGGTCAGGTAGGAACTCAGGAAAATGTTCCATAAAAAGCAGTGGAATTTTTAATTGCTGGTAACATCCTTTGCTGTTGTTTCTTTAGGTTTCGGTGGACCGGATTTTAAAGACCCTGAAAGAAAATGCCAATAAAGCCAAAAGTTTACTCCTCACTACCATACCCCAGATAGGGTCCATGGAATGGTCGGAAACTCTTCATACTCTGAAGGTTAGTATCCTTGGCCATCTGCAAGCAGATGCTTCCAGAGACACTCAGCTGCCTTTTTCTCTTATTTGAATTTCAACCTTGATTCATCTACTCATGTATTTTATACTAGCCTAGATGTTTTCTACAAATTTGTGTGCCATATGCTACTGTACTAATCATTTGTGAAATTGAGTAGTCATATATGCTGGCTAGTAATGCAAGACCATTGGAGGTTCAGATGAGGAGAGTTTTATCATCTAGTCCACCAGGTTCTTGACATTGTCCAGCTTTTCAGTGTGTCTCTAAGTCTTCAGAAGGTTGATAGTGCCTGCTCTGCACATGGCTTACATTGCTGACAGAGGTGTTTTCTCTTTGGCAGATCCATGCAAAGTGTCGGCTGTCTTTAAAGCTAAAACACTGACATAGCAATACCAAAATGGTGCCAGGGAATGTCTACTTATGGTTAATGTTGCATCAAATGAAGACAGTAATTAACAATATACATCAGATGGGTTGCAGATTGGTAGCTTTTCAACTCTATTATAGTCATGTGCTGCATAATGACATTTTGGTCAACAATCCACTGCATATATGACAGTGGTCCTGTAAGATTAGTAACACATAGCCTAGGTGTGTAGTGTGTAGTAGGCTATACTATCTATACTATCTAGGTTTGTATAAGTACACTCTGTGATGTTCACACAACAACAAAATTGCCTAACGATGCTTTTCTCAGAACATATTCCTGTTGTTAAGCGAAACGTGATTGTATTAATTCCCAGAATATAATTCAAACTGACTACCAAGCTCAGAGATGCATGATTTTTATTTGGGCATTTTATAACTCTCTTGATTAACCACATTAGATAAGGAGTTGCCTCAAATTGATCAGATATTATGTTGATCCAGCATCCAGAGAGGGTAGCCAGCATGTCCTGAGGTCTTCTAGAACACGCCTGTACTCTTGGTTCTTATGGCAATAGTTGAGAGAGGATTTGAAAAGGTTGATGTAAGCTCTTCCTACCCTACTGAATTACCATTGAGGAGCCCTGCAATGAGAGCCACAGTTTTAGTCTGGTGACATGATAGGTAGTAAATGATTGACAACCGATGGGCATGGAGAAGCCATGATTTATAGTGTTTGCCGATTTACATGGTGTAAATTCTCTAGCACAGCTGGTTTCAAGCTATCAACATGAAGCCACTGATAAGCTGGGAAGTGATAGACATAGTCAGTTCTTAGAAGCTGGTACAAGCATTCTCCCGCACACCGCTGTAACTAAGGTGCCTCTCAGCCTTTAGGACTGCAAAGTCAGGGATACTGGAGTTTGTAATCTGTCTTCCCTAGTAGACTTCAAGTCCATAAGCAACAGGAAGCACATCTGTAGGTTTCAACCTGTATACCCAGGAGATAAATGTTCATTAGTGAATATTAATGAATAAATGATAGCCCCTTTCCCCCGTGAAGTGTTTCATCATAACTGAAATACAGGAAACCCTTATAATTATGAAGAAAAGGGAAACAGAAAATAAATTCTAGGAATTGGAGAATGTCAGTTTAAACTAGAAACAGTTGCATTCAAATGAGTATAATGCCACAGAGCAGCCTGACTTGAGCATATCTAAATAAGCACACTATTGATTGGTGGGAAATGTGACTCATGCTTTGTGCTGCTGAGGCTAATTTTACCTGTAAGATGTGGTGGGTGTTTTTTCTTTTCTTTTTTTTAAGTTTCTCAACTGACCCCATTTTGACCATAGTCTCTTGAGCTTGAAGATAATTTCTCAAGCAATAAATTTATTACTTCAGCTTCATTTTTAAGTAAAGATGCTTGGATGGTACAAATCAGTGTTCTCTTTTCCTTCTCTTAAGGAAGCAGAGAAGGAACACTTCTGGAAGTGTGTGTAAAATTCTGTGGTTTGGGATATATGCATTTTTAAAGAGAGTTAGTTTTCATCACATTCTCAAAGGGATATATGACCTAAAGAGAGAAAAGGAAGAATGGCTGCTCTAGACAAAATTGAGAATCACGGCCTCCATTCTATAGCATTAAGGAACACCATACTAATCCCTTATCCTGGGGTAGGATTTTTTGTCCTCTCAGCATGGAAATGTGTATCATTCATTCACTCACTAATTTATTTCAAAAACACTTAGCGAGCACCCACTATAAGTGCAACTATGGTTTGCAAAGATACATGAGACTTGCAGTGATGAAGAAAATCCTGTTCTGTTTGGAGATATCTAACATATTAAAATTTCAGTAATTTTTTTTTTCAGCAGGATAAGGTAAAAGATGGAGGTTGCATAAACAGTAATCCAGGCTGAGGGTTGGTGTATAAAATGTGTCCTAGTGGTTGTGAAAGGAGATGGAGATAAGTAAGGATCAGAACAATCCTCTGAGATAAGCATAATGGACCTCACTTTACAGGAAGGGAGAGTTAGGGACTAAGAGTTAGGAGCGATACCGGAAGTCCCACATCTGCTTAGTGATTTTTAAACTTTGGCAAACATGAGAATTTTCTGGAGAGTTTATTAAAGGTGTATGTCTCATGAGTTCTCACTCTGTAAAATCAAAATCTGGGTTTGGCCGGCCCAGTGGTGTATGGTTAAGATCGTGCATTCTGCTTCAGGGGCCCAGGATTCGCAGGTTCAGACCTACACACAGCTTATCAAGCCATGCTGTGGCAGGCATCCCACAGGTAAAGTAGAGGAAGATGGGCACAGATGTCAGCCCCAGGCCAGTCTTCCTCAGCAAAAAGAGGATTGACAACAGATGTTAGCTCAGGCTAATCTTCCTCACCAAAAAAAAAACAAACCTGGTTTTTAATGAGCACTCCGGGTGATTATTATGCTCACACATGTATAAAACCACTGCCTTTGGTAAGTGCTTGGCTGATTGTAATCTGTGCCTACTTTCTTCCTTTCAGGATATGGCCCAGTTTTCTGTTTTAGTACCAAAACATTAAAATAGCCTGGCTGCCCAGAAGACAAGAAGACTTTCTAATTCTACACATTTGGGGAATTCCTGCTTAACTTTAAAAGACATGCAGCTTTCATGCCCTTGCCTGCTAAGGAAGAACATATAAGACAAGACATTGCATGAATCGGAGATTCCTTCTAAAACAGACTTGGACTGCTTCAGAAAATGGAAAGAAAGCAAATGACTATTAAACATGTGGAAAATTATACTTTATAAAAAAGACAAGAAGATATCATTCACCTCCCCCCATTAAATTTGTAACAATAAAGCGTGGGAGATAACATCCAATTTCCTATGTTGGCAAGAAATACGAAGAAGAAATGGGACTCTTAGGCCATTTATTGGTGTGACTGTAAATTGGTACAATCTTTTTGGAGGGCAGTTTGGTAAAATGTATCAAAAGTCTTAAAAAATACACCCTTTGTGCTGGTTACTCCTAAGAATTTATCTTTAAAAGATTATTGGAGATACATACAAAGAATTAGGTATAAAGAAGGATGTCTAATATAGTGTTAGTTATAATAGCATATATTCAAAACAATCTGAATATCCAACAATTGGAGGCAAATTATAATTTAGCTCTAATTACATTAGATTATGAAGGAGCCAACTGAAAATCATGTTTTCACGTAATACTTAATGTCCTAAAGAAGTGGTGTCTCTATAGTATGAAATGAAAAAAGGATATGTAAGCATTTTACAGTGCTGATTTTGTTTTAAAATTCTACTCAAATATACAAAAAGACTAGAAAGATATATATAACCTTTTGTTACTGTATTTGGGGGAGGGATACTGGAAAGTTTCAATTTTCTTTATATTTTTCTGTCTCTTCACACTTTTTTACAATGAATATAATCAAATAAAAATAGACCTGTTTTAAAAATAAAAATGGACTTAGATCCAGTTCTTGAAAAAACACTTTCTGGTAATGAAGCCAAATTTAAGATGGTAATACTAAGAGGAGTTCTGTTTGAGTTCCATCTTTATTTTGTTAAAAAAGAAGATCATTAATGACTATAGAGTCAGAATGATATTTAAGTTTGCAACAACCTGAGAGAAGCTGGGTGTTTAATACTGAGTCTTAAAGGTAAACTATTTAAGAAACTGTATACACACATTATAGTGTGTGAGATATTTTTAAAATTAATATTTGACTTTTCGGGAGGTGATGTCAGCATCATGGTGGAGTGAGTTTTTCCCTTTGTCTCTGCCCTCTAAGTTACAACTAAATGGACATTCATTAATCGACAGAGGATTCACTACACAGCACAACAGGACATCTAAGAGATCCACACAGCCATGCACCTGAAGGCAGGTGGACTGGATCCCCAGGAGGCAATAGAATTAGGTGAGCAGCACACCCCTCCACCTCCCTGGTGGCAGCGAGCCAGGTCACAGATCCTCACACAGTGGCTGGCACGACTGTAAGAGGAGGCAGGGGCAGCTCAGCTGTGCAAATGCTTTCAGAGTTGTAGCCTGGCCTGTGGAGCGCCCACCATGCCATGGCAGCCCCTCCCATGGGAACTCTCTACACCAAGTGGCGGCGACTCAGCCCCCATGAAGGCGTCTGCCCACCAAGCACAGCTCAGGTGAGAAGGTGCCCTGACTGCTCAGAAGATACCCCGCTCACAGAGCACAGCAACCCACAGGACCCACTGAGTGGCAGCTCAGGCCCCATGTAGGCTCCCCTCCCTCCTAGTGCAGTAGCTCAGCTAGTCCCCTGCCGAGAGCAGCAGCCCTGCCCACACAAGAGTGACCTGCCCACTGGGCACAAAGCCCCCACCTACAGTGTCTGACCCTCCTGCCCAGCACAGAGGCCCTGCCATGAGCGCAACCTGCAGAGTGGCTGCAGCCAGCCCATGCAAATGCAGAGCAGCCCTACCCGCACAACTTCCAGCAGATGGGAGGAATCAGAAAACACAGCTCCTGCTTCCCCACAGCAGTGGTAGGTGGAATCTGTGACCTGATACTACCACAAATGTGCCAGCAAAGGATTAGTTCATTAAACACCATGAAGAACTACAGTAACACTTCAGAGCAGAAGGAAGATGACAAGTCTTCAGAAGCTAATCTCGAAGTCTCAGAAATTTACAATCTAAATGACAGAGAATTCATAATAGTTGTCATAAATTCAATGAGTTACAAGAAAACTCAGTTCAATGGGCTCAGGAATAAAATTAATGAGCAGAAGGAATACTTCACCAAAGAGATTGAAACTTAAAAAAAAGAAAAAAACAGAAATTCTGGATATGAAGAACATAATGAGATAAAAAATAATCTAGAAACCATAAAAAAACAGAGCTGATATTATAGACGACAGAATTAGTGAATTAGAGGACAGAAATATAGAAATGCTTCAGGTAGAAGAGGAGAGAGAACTAAGATTTTTAAAAAATGAATACATTATTTGAGAAATATCCAACACAGTTAGGAAAGGCAATATAAGAATTATAGGTATTCCAGAGGGAAAAGGGAGGGAGAAAAGAGCAGAGATCTTGTTCAAAGAAATAATAGCTGAGAACTTCCAAACCTGGGGAAGGCACTGAACTTACAAGTACATGAAGCCAATAGAACTCCTAATTACATCAACGCAAAAAGCCCTTCTCCAAGGCATATAGTATTAAAACTAGCAAAAGTCAATGACAAAAAATATAAAGGGCAGCAAGGCAGAAAAAATTAACCTACAAAGGAACCCCTATCAGGCTTTCAGTGGATTTCTCAGCAGAAATCTTATAGGCTAGGAGAGAATGGAATGATATATTCAAAATACTGAAAGACAAATCTTTCAGCCAAGAATACTGTATCCAGTGAAACTATCCTTTAGATACAATGGCGAAATAAAAGCTTTCCCTGATAAACAAAAGCTGAGGGAGTTTATCGCCACTAGACGTCCAGTACAAGAAATGATGAAGGAAGCCATCCTACCTGTAACAAAAAGGCAAAGATGTACAGAGCCTTGAACAATGAGATAAACAGACAAAATCAGAAAATTGCAGCTCTCTGTCAGAATAGGTTAGCAAACATTTAATTATAACATAAAAGATAAAGGGAACACATCAAAAATAAGTATAAACACTTCAATTTAGTCACAAACTCACAACACAAAAAAAGAACAATTTGTGACAGCAATAACTCAGAAGGGAAAGAGGAAAGGGAAGGAACCTGCTTAGGCTAATGGAGATAAGAGGCTATCAGAAAATGGACTATCTCATCTAGGAGATCTTGTATACAAACCTCATGGTAACCACTAAACAAAAAATAAAAGCAGAGCCACAAATCATAAAGGGAATACTGTGAGAAAACCACCAAACTGAAATGGCAGTCAGAAATATAAGAGAAAAGAAACAATGGAAATATAGAATACTTGGAAAACAAGAGATAAAATGGAAGTATTAAGTTCTCATATATCAACAATCACTCTAAATGTAAATGAATTGAATTCTCCAATCAAAAGACTGAGTGGCTGGATGGATTAAAAAACAAGACCCAACAATGTGCTGCCTCCAGGAAACACATCTCAGCTCTAAGGACAAACATAGACTCAGAGGAAAGGGATGGAAGACAATACTCCAAGCAAATGGCAAGCAAAAGAAAGCAGGTTTTGCAATACTTGTATCAGACAAAGCAGACTTCAAGATGAAAAAGACAATGAGGGACAAAGAAAGGTGGTATATAACGATAAAAGGGACACTCCACCATGACGAAATAATACTTATGAATATATATGAACCTAACACAGGAGCACCAAAGTACATAAATAAAGCAACTAATAACAGACCTAAAGGGAGAAATTGACAGCAACACAATAATAGCAGAGGACTTCAACACCCCACTTACATCAAAGGATAGATCATCCAGACAGAAAGTCAACAAGGAAGCAGTGGCTTTAACTGAAACACTAGGCCAGATGGACTTAATAGATATATATGTAGAACATTCCATCCAAAAATGAAATACTAGACCAAATGGACTTAATAGATATACATGTAGAACATTCCATCCAAAAACAGAATACACGTTCTTCTCAAGTGCACATGGAACATTCTCAACGATAGAACAATGCTATGAAACTAGAAATCAACTACAAGAAAAATGCGGGGGGGCCAGCCCGATGGCCTAGTGGTTAAAGTTCCATGTGGTTCGGCGGCCTGGTCTCGCAGGTTCAGATCCCGGGCACGGACCTACACCACTTGTCAGCCATGCTGTGGTGCCAACCCACATACAAAATAGAGAAAGATTGGCACAGATGTGAGCTCAGAGATAATCTTTTCAGGCAAAAAAGAGGAAGATTAGCAGTAGATGTTAGCTTAGGGTGAATCTTCCTCAGGAAAAAAAAAAAGCTGGGAAAGGCACAAATAGATGAAGATTAAACAACATACTATGGAATAACTATTGGATCAATGAATAAATCAAAGGAGAAATCAAAAAATACCTGGAGACAAATGAAAATGAAAACACAACATACCAAGTCCTATGGGATGCAGCAAAAGTGGTGCTAAGAGGGAGATTTATAGCAATGTAGTTTAACATTAAACTACACCTAACAGAACTAGAAAAAGAAGAACAAACAAAGCCCAAAGTCAGCAGGAGGGAAATAATAATAATTAGAGCAGAAATAAATGAAATAGAGACTAAGAAAACAATAGAAAGGATCAAAGAAACTAAGAACTGCTTCTTTGAGAAAATAAACAAAATTGACAAAACATTAGCCAGATTCACAAAAGAGAAAGCTCAAATAAATAAAAATGAAAGAGGAGTAATTACAACAGATACCACAGAAATACAAAGGATTATAAGAGAATACTATGAAAAACTGTATGCCAACAAGTTGGATAACCTAGAAGAAATGGATAAATTCTTAGACTCATACAACCTCCCAAAACTGAATCAAGAAGAAATAGAGGATCTGAATAGACCAGTCACAAGTAAAGAGGTAGAAACAGCAATCAAAAGTCTCCCAAAAAACAAAAGTCCAGGACCAGATGGCTTCTCTGCAGAATTCTACCAAACATTCAAAGAAGCGTTAATACCTATCCTTCTCAAACTATTCCAAAAAATTGAAGAAGACGGAATGCTTCTTAACTCCTTCTATGAGGCCTACATCACCCTGATCCAAAAACCAGACAAGAACAACACAGAGAAGGAAGATTATAGGCCAAT